CATAGAACAGAAAATGTTAGGTGTAAGATCTCAAAGTTCATTGTGTCCAAACGTTGGTTTTAAAGGTGACCAAAAAAAAAAAAAAAACCACTACAGGTGGACTCCTGGGCTAAACTCTTACTATGTGACTACTTCCTCTTGATAATAGTTGTCCACATTCTTCATATTCTGGTAGCCACTGAAACTTTATAGTTTCATTCTATGGAATGATGGGTAAATTTAAAAAGTGTCATTATGTTTCCTAAGAAATAAATGCTAGTTAGCTTTCTATAAAGCTTCTTCCCTCTACTATAAGCAATAGATATTTAATTAACTTCTGTCTCTGCAGCAGCCAAAGTCATCCTTTCATAAATGAAGTAATAATGTGCCTTTCAGCTTACAGCCCTGAAGTACCTCCCATTAAACTACAAGTAAAAGCCAAGTTTTTCCAATAGCCTATAAATCCTGCACCTCTGTTCTCACTTTACTCCACCCACTTTTTCTTATTTGCTGCTCTCCAATTCACCAAGTATCTTCCCTTGTGAGAACCTTTATGCTAGCTGCCTGGAATTCTCTTGTCCTCAATAAGCAGAATGATTAACTCCTTCACCCCCATCAAGTCTTCACTCAAATGTGATCTTATTATTAATACCTTTACTGACCATTCTATTTAAAACCACTACACTCATTCCTCTGTGCTTCCAGAGTCTTTTACCTTAATTTACTACTTTTACTGTAGGATTTATCATCTTCTAATTAATATACCATATCATTTACTTATGTACTACTTCTTCCACCAGAATGTAAGCTCTGTGAAAGTAGGAAGGAATCTTGGTACAACCTTTCACTATTATCTCCTAACAAATGAAAAGTGCCTAACCATTAATGAACTCAACCAACCACTCTTTGTGTACCAATAAATGCTATATCAGAATGATCACGCCTATGTTAGGCTAGGATCTTATCAAAATACACTAGATCTTCCAATAGATTCTGCTAAAGAGACCACTGTACTAAAACCAATACATTACTAGTCACTAAAATTCTCCTTTGATGTTAAAATTTACCAAAAAAGTTACTATTTAATAATTAAAATATGGTCAGTTATTCTTTTTCAAAGAAAAGTCCAAACTGCATTAGAAACAGGTATAAATTCAAGCTCAGATATATTTACAAAGAATACTATTAGCTTAGCATCAATTAAACTGCCAGGTTTGCTTGGCTATAATCCTTAACATTCCCTGACATAGTATTCTGAGAAGTTGTGACAAAATGAAAATTTAAGAAATGTGTATTTTTGTAAATATTCATGACAAAGTACCTGAAGTACACTGACTTCCTCCATGTCAGTATCACATGTATCTTACAATTTTTTCCCCCAACGATAATGATGGATTTGTTCTGACATATCAATGTTCTATTACCAGCTAATATTTTGTAAACAAAGACATGGGGGTAAAGGTTGGCTGAGAATAACATCGTAGATAGACACAAAATATGGTCAAAACTGTCCATCTCTGAGAGTTTCACACAGTCTATGGACTGTGGTATAAAAGCACCAACACCACCAGCTCTGCCTGCCATGGATTTGTACAATGATCACTACCAGATGTGCTGAAAGCTAATTGACCTAAATTGAAGATGAAATCAATGATCTTTCCTCTTAGAAAAAGCAATTCAAAATTACTAAGCAATGAGAGGCAAACCGATTTACTTTTTTAATATCTTCAAAACATTTACAGGTAACTAAAAATAAGGTGTTAAAGACTTAACTATCTTAAAGTGATTCTACATAATAGGAGTCAATTCCTTAACTCTGAATCTTGGTTTAGTTGGCAGTGGTTTTCTGGGAAAGGGTAGGAAATTAGATACCCTACAATGATCATATAGCACCCTCAAGTGGAAGTACGAGACTGACAATATTTTCCTTAAAAAGATCTGCTGATCTGTAAGGAGATGAGATTCTTTCAAAGATATTGAACAAATTAAGATAGACTAAACTTTACCAGCGGGGCTTGTAGTTTGAACTATTTCTTTAACAATAAGGATGTATTTTTGAATGATATAGACATTCTTCTAATTAGTATTTCAGAGTTATGAGTTAATGCAGGGTACTTTGAACAAAACCTTGAACATTACAAAGCTAATTACCTTATAGGGTAATTAGTGAGTAGTATGTAGGCTAAGTCTCCTGCATTATCTGTTATGAACAAAACAAGTGGCCCCTTTACAGGAAAAAAAAAGGTTCAAGGCTACCTTCAGTTGTTAATATAATACTTTTAAAATAACTTACCCATACATATGTATGTACAGACTAAGTATGAAGCATGGTTTCTGCAGACCCTCTAAACTGCATGGCAACAAGATACATGAGTTCTAAAGTTATAATTTGAACAAAATATTAACCTCACCATACTTGTTTCTTCATTTTTAAATGATGGAGGAGAAAATTCAGAGGTTACTAGTAAGTGGTTTCTTAGTTTAACAATCAAGAGTCTTTTGGTTCCAAATCATGAATTTATTCAATCTGGTATAAGCAACAAAAGGCATTTTTAGAGGGGAAAAATGGGAGAAAAGATACTGAAAATTAAATCAAATTAAAGATGAGAGTATTAACTATCCTTCAAATCATAATCAGTTCCACCGACCCTTTCATGACCATACATCTCACCCCTAACCCTGGAAAAGGAGCAAGACTTTGCTGAAATTGTATAGAGTCATGAAACAGAAAGAACCTGTCCACAATAACAGCCATAGATTATTTGTGTTATTCCTTTTCAAATGATAATTTTCCAAGATCTGATAGACTTTATCTTTTGCATGTAATACCACAAAGAGATGCATGTTACTTTAGGGTACTTGGGGAGCCCAAGAAAAGCTCTTTCAGATAGCTACTTTTGCCCCTGCCTTTTATGACATTCAGTTTAAGTTTCTGTGTTTTTTGCAAACTAAATCAGGCATTGGGATATGTGTGTGTTCATGTAGAAAAGACAGGGTGTCTCTTCCCGTATATGCACAGCCAACCTGAAATGACACTTCTATAATTAAATGTCCATAATAGAAGTACCCTCTCTATCTTGATTTTTTTAGCTTCTCTTTTAATTATATTGCTCTCTCCTCCTAGAATGTGCATACCTCTTACTTCCCCCTCTTACCCATATAAACTTCCACTACCCTATCCTCCAGAAAAAAAAGGAACCCAGCAGAGACTCAGTAGGTAGCCACAATATTACTGACTTACTATGCCATATATGGTTCTTCTTTGTATGCCAGTCAAAAAATCAGATGATTTTTAAATATTTCTATCTTCAGGACCAAGTATGTTTTTCTTTAGGCTATGCATATGTGTTTAGTTAGAAATGGAATTTCACGTCACATAAAAATTGGCCTAGAGACCAAGTATCCACTGTCCTGAATGTCCTGCCTTATTTTCCCTCCCATATATTCACTTATTATACTGACTAATCTGGAAATGTTATTTGGAAACTATTTTTAAAAGATTCTTTAAAGGTCAAATCAATGAACAAAAAAAAATAATAATTAAAGCAGTAGGTGAAATATAAGTGTCTTTGTGTCCACTTTGAGAAGACCCATTTGTAGGATTGGTTTCTACAAGATGAGAATTAAAACTAATCTACTTACTCTCTCTTCTGACTCCCTCCAGTCCTACATCAAAGATCCAGTGCTCTGTCCCTTCAAAGTCAAAGGGTATTTATCCCAGCAGAAAATTAATCCAAATATACCTGTAATTGTAAAAATTGCAAAATTGCCTTCTTTTTCAGGGGCAACACTCTCTCTCCAAATAACAGTCATCTCTAAGTATACAGTTTACCACAAATCAGCAATACCTCCAACTAAATCTCTTATGTGCTCATAGTACCTTGAAATTTAATGGTTTTTAAACTCACATTCTTCTTTGTTCTATTTTTTCCAAGTCTCAGTGAACTGTTTGCCCATTTCCTTAGATTTTTCACAAAATAGTGTGGAAGCCTATACTATATATTGAGGTGATGAAACTGTGAAGGGCAATTGGTCTCCCCAAAATACAAACAGCTGGAGAGAGGGCAGAATAAATGCTACCTTCCCCACCCCCACCTCCTGCAAGAGGACTATACAAAACTACACATATTTTAGCAGTACAGATTTTAATATACGGAAATAAAGCAAATTCACATTTTCTGAAAATTAGAGTTAGGCTCTCTATGTAACACTATGCTTAGGCAACAATCTTATCTCTAGCCTTTTTACCACTAGATAACAGGGAGTAATTTGCTGAGATTCATAGGCCTGTTTCTCTAAACTCTAAAAATAATAGTAACTGGTACAGGAGTTAAGGTTTCAAGATAGTATCGTAGGAAAGAGGCCTAAGTCACAATTACCTTTGAAAATCACTTTTACCCAAAAGTATAGTATATTGCCGTTATAGTACACAAAAGTACATAGTAAATCTTATGGGCGCTAGCTTTTGATAAAACACTAAGAAAAAAAAATAAAGAAAAAAGAGTATGTGTACATGTTGTCGAGACGCTAATGTCTTTCTGGTATTGATAATTCTAAAATCACTAACAGTGAATGGGGTATGGTTGGATAACACAAGATTAATAAATGTTAATGCACTTCTGCTCTTGTTTCCCCGGAAACCCCCCCAGAACAACTTTTTTAGTGTGGTTGTGCCCGAGACATGGTTTATATTTCTCCAGCAAGGACTTTGAGGGCAGACTCTCTAAAATCTTGGGGTTCTCAAGCCGGCCGTGGCACTTAAAATTATCTTTCTAAACATGAGGATGAATTATTTACCTGAGATAGGGGCTTGAGCTATTTCAACGCAATAATGACACCACGGAAGTTTTAAACGCAGACGCTTTATACACGCCACTACGTCAACGTCCCGCTAAATCTTTAATTCAGGAACTAGTTGGCGCCATCCTATCGGCCCCCGTAGTCTCTCTCAATTTCGCGAGATCAAGCCGCTGTGGGCGGCGCCGGAGCACTTCCGGGAGGCAAGTATGTAAGAGCCAGTGCCTCGGTCTGTGCTTCCGGTTGCTCCCCCGGCCCCCGAGACCTCGCGGCGGGAGTAGTGAGCCGGGCAAGGGGTGCTGCCACCCCGCCCCTGGGCGTTGGGCCTAGAAATCGCTAGCCATGGACCGGGATCTTCTCCGGCAGTCATTGAATTACCACGGGCCGTCATTGCTCTCCCTGCTCCGGAGCGAACAGCAGGACAATCCGCACTTCCGGAGCTTGTTGGGGTCTGCCGGGTTGGCGGAGCCTGCCCGGGGCCCGCCTCTCCAGCAGCAGATTCAGGGCAGGTAAGGGCTTTGCGTCTCGGCTGCCAAACGGGGGAGCGAACTCAGATCTGCACTCTGCTACCGCGGCGGGGCAACTGAGCCAGGAATCGGAGCCTAGGAGTGAGCGCGTGAGGTCTGCTGCGCTGCTGCAGAGGGTGGATGCGGGAGGGTCGGCGTTCCCGGTGTCGGGGCGATGCGGGCGAAACTTTTTGTCACTGCCTTGCAGCGATACGGGTTCCTTAGCTAGAATCTATGGGCTTTAGTATTAGGGAATGCGGGCTTCACTTTTTTTAAGTGCCTCCGCCCTCCATCTAGGGAACTAAAGATTCCTAGTGATGGAATCTTTACTTAAAACTTTTTCAGGGTGATGCCCAGGGGCACGAGCAAGCCAGTAAAGCTATGAGAAGTTTCAGCGTACCCCCCCCCAAAAGGCTTTGCCGACAAACTAGCTGTCATAAATTTTGTTTCTTTTTAAGAAAAGAGAAGAGAGTTGACAACACTGAAATACAAAAATTCATTTCCAAAAAAGCTGATCTGCTTTTTGCACTTTCTTGGAAGTCAGATGCACCTGCAACTTATGAAGTTAGTGAAGATAGTGAAGGTAAGTTTAGTCCCCATAGTTTCTATTGCTGTTTAGTCTCACTATATTTCTGTTGCAGTTTGGTTTAAAATTACTTCAGATGAAGCAAAAGTGTTGTAATTTTGTTACTTTTTTCCAGATCATTATGCAATCATGCCACCTTTAGAGCAGTTCATGGAGATACCTACTATGGATCGGAGGGAACTGTTTTTCCGAGATATTGAGCGTGGTGATATAGTGATTGGAAGAATTAGTTCCATTAGGGAATTTGGATTTTTCATGGTGTTGATTTGTTTAGGCAGTGGCATCATGAGAGATATATCACACTTAGAAATCACAGTAAGTCACTCACTTTTCACTTATTTGCTTCCACTTAAGGGTCATCCCAATATGAGAAATTATGTCCTTGTATCCTGTTGCTTATGTATACTACCCAGTTTTGAAATAAGTTTTAATTGGATAAAATTAAGTATTTTTTTCCTCCTTTATAAATAGTGATGAAAGAGTTACTTGGCACAGTTTGCTCCTATTGATACTAAACTCCTAAACTCCTGAGTTTAGGTTTTGTTTTTGGGTTTTTTTGTTTTTTTGTTTTTATCCCATTGGCTAGCAAGGATGGGGTCTTATTTCAAATGCTCAGAGATATCAGTGAATATGGTGAAATTAATTGGTATTCTGGGATTTCTTCTAGATACACATGTTCTTAAATACAGTATATGATATTAGTACTTGAATTTGGATAATTTAGAAACAAATTTCTCCTCTGTTTATATTTATGTATGTGCTATATACATATACACAATTAAACTTATGTGACCTGTATAGTATAAGAAACTTTACCCAAGATGAGAAGTCCTTAATTTGAAATAATAATCGTTTTTAAAAGGTGAGATAGTTGTTGTCTCTCAGGGAGAAAAGGGGGAAAAAAGCAGGAGGTATTGTGGACTAGATAACATAAATTTGGAAAGTACATATCTTTTATTGGACTTCTCATATTTTCTGAACAAATTTAGTTTTATTTTTCAAAGTATAAAATATCTTATAATCCACACTTACATTTGATTACTCAAACTAATTGCAAGTTTCATGAGATTTTAGTTTTTCAAATGAACCAGGAAACTTATTGTTTTGGGGCACAGAAATTACTTACAGTGAAAGGCCTTATTTAATCTTAGGCATTAATGTGCTAGTCAGTTCTTTACTGCTCCTGTCACCTATTAGCTATTATAGTAAACAACTACAATAAAACAGTTCTCACCAAAGAGTGGAGTATATAGTGTTGTAAATGCTTCTCATTGCAGGCTCTCTGTCCATTAAGAGATGTGCCATCTCACAGTAACCACGGGGATCCTTTATCATATTACCAAACTGGTGACATCATTCGAGGTGATCAGTTTCATCATACTTACAAAAAAATAACAGTTGCCAGATTTTGTTTTTATTAATTTTGAAAATAGTCTAATGAGAAATGTTTTTGTTAAGTTGCATTTTCTTATTAATCAGCCTAGTTTTCTTATTTTGTTTTTAAGCTGGAATCAAGGATATTGACAGATACCATGAAAAACTAGCAGTATCTTTATATAGCTCATCTCTTCCACCACACCTGTCTGCTATTAAATTAGGTGTAATTAGTTCTGAAGAACTTCCATTGTACTACAGGTAATTTATCCACATTGTTTCAGCAATAGCTGATTGTAAAACAGTTTCTTGACTGAAAATAACAATTCTTGTCCAACTTCTGACACCAAAGTAGAGTTTAAATTTCTCTTTAGAATATCTTAATTACCTGTTTTCAACTTGGTAAGAAGAACCAAACCATAATATTGCCATAATTTCATCACAAAAAGAATATGAGTATTTAAACCTCATTTGATAATAATAAAATATTCTGAGTATGTTTGTCAGTTTTATGTTTTTGTTGTTTTTGTTATTTAAGGAGGAGTGTTGAACTAAGTAACAGTTCTTTGGAATCCTATGAAAATATCATGCAGAGTTCCTTGGGATTTGTTAATCCTGGAGTAGTTGAATTCCTTCTAGGAAAACTAGGAATAGATGACACTAACCCTCCATCTTTAATGAGAGGCCTACAAAGGTATAGTACATCATTATTACTCTATTAGGTGATAAAGTGAATGGCAGTGAACAAAAGCTATATAATTGAGGTACATATTTGGCCATCCTAATCCTGGTGACTGCAATATGCCAAAGGCTGAATGAAGTAGAGGAGCCCATGTCCTTTTGGAGTAGACTGTCTTGGTGGTTAGATGTACACCATGTGACTAATTAGAGAAAGATGCAGAAAATGTAGGAATATTGTATATATGCAAACGACAAAAGGCTGCTTACAGTAGTCAGTTTTGTAAGTGTGATACAAGTTTCTTGCCTGAGATTCACTTTTTCAACATTTGAGTTTTAACTGTCAAGCAAAGTCCAAGTATAGTTACAAAAACTACGTATAGTTGTAAAATCTATATTTATAGTTATAGTGTGATTTTTTTTTTTTTTTCCCTTAACAGCAAAAACTTCTCTGAGGACGATTTTGCTTCTGCATTAAGAAAGAAACAGTCTGCATCTTGGGCTTTAAAATGGTATGATTTTATTGTTCAACAGTAGCATTACCTAGTTTAAAAGATGAGAGTAAGGCATGAATTATTAAGAACAGATTTTTTAAAGTAAATTAAAATGATCCCTCTCTGACATTAGCTTTTTAAATAGATGTAAATAATTGCTCTGTGAATTGAACAAAATTAAGTTTTAGCCAACATTTTCAATTTTTTCAAAAGATATTATATTGATATTTAGATATCATAAATACTTGTTAATGAAGTGATCCAAAGGTGTAGTGTTGCTTAGTTCTGTTGACAGTATTGAAAACTGCACATTGGCCATATTTGATTTGCTTTTATAATTTATCCATGCTAACATTTTATTTGGATATTCAGTGAAATGTTTGCAATTCTTTATTAATGTTTTCAGTGTGAAGATTGGAGTTGATTATTTTAAAGTTGGCCGTCATGTCGATGCTATGAATGAATACAATAAGGCACTGGAAATAGACAAAGAAAATGTGGAAGCTTTGGTAGCTCGTGGAGCATTGTAAGTGTTATCATTGTCTTAAAGTATATTTACAAGGTAAATACATACAAGATTTATGAATAACTCATGATATAAATTCTTTTAATTTTGTCTTCAATCTTCAGATATGCAACAAAAGGAAGTCTTAACAAAGCAATAGAAGATTTTGAGCTTGCACTGGAAAACTGTCCAACTCATAGGAATGCAAGAAAATACCTCTGCCAGACACTTGTAGAAAGAGGAGGCCAGTAAGTATCAAATTTTATTTAATGGTGGATATATCTACTCTTCGACCATCCTCTATAAAATCTTAAGCTGGGTCTCTTTAATTATTTTAAATATTCTTGTTACATTGAAATAGATACATACAGGTCTAAGAAAGTAGTAGGTAAGTATTCTTCTCATGAATAGCTAGATTTTGGTTTTAATAGAAAGGGATTGAATGATTCTTTTCATCATTTCAGTAGTTTAATGCCAGAAATATGAATTGAGAGTTTTTCGCATTCATTATAAGAGTTATTTGGCTTATTGATCTATCCTACTGAGTCAAAATGCACGCATTCAGAATAAATGAAAAAGAAAATCATTAAAAACAAAACCTGTGCTTGATGTTACTAACCTGTAATGCTGGCATATTGCCTAATACAGTAGTTATTTAATGAATAATCTAATTTATGAAATATGTTGATGAAATAGTACTTCAAATATAATTTTATTCTTAAGTTTATACTTAATAGTATCTTTTCTTTGATGTGGATTCATCTCTCTTGTAGTTTTTCATTCGTTTGCTTGATTATCCAAGAATTCCAAATGAGTAGCTTGTACAGTATTTATTTTAACTCATATGGAGCCATATGACCAGGAAAGCTTGTTACTATCACTTAGGTGGGATGTAGTCAGAGTACTACACACATCTTTGGTGTCTTTTAACTGATTGAATGGTAACACCATCCATCTAGTTAATCTAAACCAGAAATACTAATAGTCTGACTTATTCTGACATCCAGTCTGGAATTCAGTTTCCTTTTTTTAATGACTTCATTTTTTTTTTAACAGTAATTACACTCCCTATTTGCTGAAATTTGAAAATATTTTGCAAAATCCTTTCACTGCTCTATATGTAAACTTTTGATTTTTTTTCCCCCACAGCATAAATTCATCTGCTTAATCTAATAATTACCTAGAGGCTGGCTATAATAATAAAAATATGTTTTGGTATTTCCAGCTTTAACAATTTTCTAGGGAAGTTTTTCTAACAAAATGAAAAATTTCTCAAACTACTAGAAAAAAACCTGTCCCTATAGTTCAATACTAAAGCTGAAATTCATTTATTTTGCTAAAATGCCAATGTCGGATATACAGATAACTTTAGCAGTTAGTGACGAGTTCTCACTTAAAGTCAAGGCATATTTGACATACAGCATTATATAGTTTCAGGTGTACAACATAATGACTTTGTTATATGTATATATTACAAAATGATTGCCACAAACACATTTAAGTCTGTTTAACATCCATCATCAATAATTATAATTTTGTCATAATGTTTAAGATCAACTTTCTTAGATATTTTCAAATTTTAAAAACAGTATTGGTACCTCTAGTCAACCATGGTGTACATTACATCCCTAAGACTTATTTTTTATAAAGTTTGTAACTTTTGCTCAACTTCACATACTTTGCCTACTCCCCTCTGGCAATCTATCTGCAGAATCAAGGTTTTTTGTTCTGTTTTATTTGGTTTTACTAAAAAAAATAGCAACAAGAAGCATTGTTTACTGTTCAAATTTGAAAATAATCTGCTAAACATGGTTTTTCCCTATTTTTTCATAGAAGCCTCTGAGCTGTATGCATATTTGAGGACTGTTCATTTTCTATAAAAGACTTGTCTTCCTTTCAAATTTAGGCTAGAAGAAGAAGAAAAATTTTTAAATGCTGAAAGTTATTATAAGAAAGCTTTGGCTTTGGATGAGACATTTAAAGATGCAGAGGATGCTTTGCAGAAGCTTCATAAATATATGCAGGTGATTCTTTATTTCCTCTTAGAAATTTAATGATTTTGAAATTAATATGAAAACTTAACTCTTTTAAATTGCTTAGTTAATACAGTATTGAATATTTATTTTACACACAGCTTTTTCTAATTGTTTTGACATTGTGTCATAGTGTCTATTTATTTATACTAAAACAGTAAAATAGCCTGATGAGAAAATCTCTGTTGCTTAAATGGTTTTGAAAACTGTCCTTTTAGTGATCTTTCCTGGTGGTTTTAAAAAAACTTAATGTGGTATTATGTTAGTGAACTATGAAAACCTTTTTAAGAAATATTTTATGCTGTCTATTCCTGTAATACTGATGATGATGTTTTCTCATGCATTTTCTTCTGAATTGGACCATTGCTGCTGTGTCTGTGACATCTGGTGCTGCTCATCCCCATCCTCAAACTGGAAAATGGTTTCTTATGTAATCATGCATCCAACTGGGCTGTGCTATTTTTTAAATGGTTTGTATTTGAACATGGGAATTCACCTTAACGGAATTTCTTTGCTTGAATTTTATTTATAAAATTTGTGTACTACTTAAACTTTGATTTTTTTTTTTTTTTTAATAATTTTTTCATGTATTTTCTTTTTTTCTTTTCCTGGACTCTGGGTCATGGTTACCAATGCGGTGGCTTCCCCTTTTTTCATGGAATACCAACTGCAATATGGTCCTCAATATTGTTCTGGCCATGCCAATGATTAATGCCAAACACCTGTATGATTAATTTTTATAATACGTTAAAAATCCTTGTATAATGCTGGATATATGGTGATTTGGGTGTACCACATTTGATTCCTGGTTGGGGGCGGTGGGCTTCTTAAAATGTGGTTTTATATATTCTGCTATTTTTAACGTGTGATTTTTTCTGATATCTGGGTTCTAAAAGAAATCTTTGGAATTAAGAGAAAAACAAGCTGAAAAGGAAGAAAAGCAGAAAACAAAGAAAATAGAAACAAGTGCAGAAAAGTTGCGTAAGCTCTTAAAAGAGGAGAAAAGGTAAACTATAAAATTCAGGTTTTTTTTTTTAACTTAAAGCAACTACTGAGTTGAACCAAAGTGCTATATGGAAGTAAAGTAAGTAAAAAAGATACAAGTATTTCAATTCATAATCTGAGTGTTAATAGTACTTAGCCACTACATACATCACAAATTTTTCTTAAAAGAAATTGAGCAAAAATGGAATTCTAAAGCTAGAATATCAGAAAAAGAGAAAACTAACCTTAGTATTAAAATGTTATTTTAGTTAGCTTGTACTTTTGAGAGGAGAAGTCTTAGAACTAGAGCAGTAGTTCTCTATTGTGGGTGATTTTTGTCCCCAACAACACTTTCAGTTGTCATAACTGGTAGACAACTACTGGCATCTCGTGGGTAAGGTCAGGAACATTACATAATGAGCAGGATACTCAATCATTGCATCCTCACCCCAACAAAGAATTATTTAAACCAAATGTCAGTAGTGCTAAGATGGGGAACCTGTGAAGTAGAGGAGGTAAACAGAAAACAAGTTCTCTCCTCCCTGTGTTCAAATAGTGTTCAGTTTTTAAGGTAGTGCTGGCAATTCATTCAGAAGTGGATTTTCTTATAGTGACACTTATCTACACAAGTATTTTTGCCCAAGTACATTTGGAATAGTAGTCACTAATGTTAAGGTATTGCTTATCTAAAGCCATGGGATTTTTTTGTTTGTTTTTAATGAGATCTTTAGAAAAAAAGATAGGACTAAAATCTTTTTGGGTAATTAAGGCACATTTCTTTACTTACCATAGCTGATGAATTACCTACACTTTTTTTAGGCTGAAGAAGAAAAGAAGAAAATCAACTTCCTCTTCAAGTGTTTCCTCTGCTGATGAGTCAGTTTCTTCATCATCCTCCTCTTCTTCTGATCACAAAAGGCATAAGAAACATAAGAGGAACCGCTCAGAGTCTTCTCGCAGTTCCAAAAAGCATTCAGCTAAAGCATTCTCAAATCAGATAGATCAGAATAAGAAAGATGACTCTTACCCAGTTCCAGCCAATACTTCAGCATCTTTTCTTAACCAAAAACAAGAAGTGGAAAAACTACTGGAAAAGCAGGATAGGTTACCATATCAAAAGAAACAGGTAAAAGAGAAAGATAGATGCACTCTCTCTTCATCTGCAGTTGAAATTCCGGATGATTTTGGAGGTAGGTCTGAAGAACCAAGAGATTTTTATAATAATTATAAAACTCAGGCAGGTAGTAGCAAAACAGAAAAGCCATATAAGTCAGAAAGACATTTTTCTAATAGAAGAGATTTCTCAGATTCCTGGTACAGGAATTCAGATGACAAGTTAAAAATTCATGGTTACAAAAGATTTGAAAAAGATACTGAGGGAAGAAAAGAGCATTATAGGAGGTGGGATTCATCCTCCATGAGGTATTCTTCTTCCCCAGCAAATTCAGACTACTCTTGGAAGTCAGTTGAAAAATATAAAAAAAACAGTTATTCTGGATCACGTGATTTCAGCAGACATGAACAAAGATACCAATTAAATAAAAATCAAGAATATGAAAGAGAGGATAATTATGGGGAAGATACTAAAACAGAGGTTCCAGAAAAAGATGAACTAAATAGCAAAGAACAATCAGAAAGTGGAATTAAAAAAAATTTACCTCAGAATTTACTAAATATATTTAATCAGATAGCTGCATTTGAAAAGGAAAAAGGAAATAAGCCAAAAAATTAATATGCCAGGGAATATGGCACCATTTTATTAAAAGCTGCTGATAAAAGTTTTGGGTCTTAGTCCAAATAACCCAGTTCAGGAATCTGCTCAAGTTATTTTATTTGTAGAGATTGCAAAAAAGCAAATAAATGTTTTTTTAGCTTTTCTCAAGTACATTTGTTTTAGTTGTAGCTTGCCTTTCCACAGCTTTATGTGTTTTGTATGTTTGTGTATAGTATTTCCTTCTTTGGATGATTTAAATTTCACTGATCAGTAACTCAAAATATTGTTTCTTCACTGTACTATGGTGTATAAGAATTTGAGTCCACCCTCCTACTGTTTGATAGAAAATTAAATTTATACATTGAATGCATGGATCGTGTTCATCAAAATTTCTTTTTCCTGTTAAAAACCCTTGGCTTTTGAAAGAACATTTGAATAGCCCTTATGCACCATTTTATATTAACCATTTGTTTAAATATTAAGGTTCTTTGCATAATTTCTGTTTTAAAATGGTAGATTATCTTGTCTTAATTGACCTTTTAAGCCAGACTTAATAAAAATGATATGTCTGATATCATTAGCTTCTACCTAGATTAACAAGTACTTTAGGACTATAGCCATGAAAGTTGAATAGGGACCCCTTTTTACATATTGCCCTTTTTTAAAAAAAAAACTGCTATTAGTAAAAACCTTTAAAAAATTTTTCAACTTTGAAGTATTGGCAGATCCTTAACAGACAACATTCTGGGTGAGAATGATCAGAACAGAAAGAACCTTTTAGCAAAAAAATGAGTGTGAAGAAAAATATGTCTGATTTTCCTGCTGAGGAAAAATTTTAGTGTAACTGTCCAAGTAATGCAAGTTGGGAAAGCACTAGGCATAATCTTAAATAATCTGTAGTTGGCCTGTATTCCTACTTTGTGTGTGTTTTAGAATATTATACTTTTTTCCCCCAACTTTATTTAGATATTGACATAGTGTACTATATAAGGTCAAAGTATAGTATAATGTAAAGAAATTATGAAAATGATCACTGCATTGTGTTCATAAGTTTATATTTATCTCGTAGATTTTTTTTAAAAAGAAATTTATTCCTGTGATGAAAACTCTTAGGATTTCTGTTAACTTTCAAATACACCAGAGAGCAATGTTCATTGTACATGTTGTACATTACATCCCTACTACAAGTTTTAACCTTTTCCAATTTCTCCTTCCTCTACCTTCTGTCTCTAATAATCACAATCTAATCTTTTGCTCTGAATTTGATTTTGGTGCTTTTTTCTTGGCTTTTGTTTTTTTCTTTTTTGTTTTAGATTCCACAAATCCCACTGTTAAGTGGAATGCTGTGAAAGCCATTTATTGGAATATCAGGATTTCCTTTTTATGGCTGAATAATATTCCTTTACAGTTATATAAACATGTAAATAAACACACACGCACATAGGAGCCCACAGCTGCTTTGTCTAGTCATCCATAAATGGATACTTTTGTTGTTTTCATATCTTAACTATTATATATAAAATACTGCTCTGAACATGGGGGTACAGATCTTTTGACAGTATTTTTGTTTCCTTCTCAGAAGTGGAATTTCTGGATCATGATTCTTTTTTGACTTGAGTATCTTTCATGCTATTTTCCATAGTGATTTACAGCTTACATCAACAATATACAAAGTTTCCCTTTCTTCTCATCCTCACTAGTATTTGTTAATTGCTCTCCTTTTTGAAGGTAGCCATTTTTCTAAAAGCCATAATATATCTAATTGTAGATTTTTTTTTTAGGATGGGATTACTGTACAGAGAACTTTTCTGGTCATGTCTCCTTAGGCACTGAACACCAAAAATGAGCACTGTCACTGAACAACATTGTTATTGATATCCAAAAGTTAATTCAAGATTCCATATGTACCTCTAAATTTAAGTTTTTTTCTCATTTTGATAATTGAGTTAAAGGTCAGTGCATTCAGTGACCTATGTTTAGTTTTAATTGAGGCAACATTGGTTAATAACATGATTCAGGGGAATAGGTTCACATCTTCTCAGACATACATCACTATATCACACCCAACACTAGAGCTCCATATTCTTACCTTCTCCTAGTACCTCCAAATTCTGCAGTCAGATTACTAGATTCATGTATTTGAAAAATAGCTTTATAATATAATCAGATCTACACTACTGCAAGAGCTCCCACGTGTTGGGCACATGATACAAAGAACTATCCAAAACTGGCGGTCTACCAATAAATTAGGGGATTCCTATTGCAAATTAAATCACACCCAGTTTTCTTTAATTGTTTATTAGAGCAAGAAAAATGTTCAATACATTCATTGTAGTTGGTTGTCTATTTTCAGAAAAAAATCTTCCATGTGTTTAATCTTGAAAAAAAAATCCAATAACTAGAAATTTCAACCTCAGTGCCAGTATAGTGTTTCTTTTGGATGAAAACTTTTAAATTATAACAATTACACTACCAGACTTTTCCCCCTGAGCCTGGGAAATTTGTTTATGTGAATAAAGAAAACCTAATTTCAGGAACTTTACTGAAGTTGCTGATAATCTTGATAATGTAATGAGTATTCAGAAATTTTTTCCAGAAGACTCAACTAACATTGTATTTTCATAGCTAGCATAATGAGCAAGCTATTTTCTAATTAATAAATATCAGTTTCACAGTGAAAAGGTATTTTCTCTCTGCTGGTATGACAGACCTCTGCAAAAATTTGTTTTTCTTTTATATGAAGAAAACAGGCAAAAAAAACCTAAGAAAAATTAAACATTTTTTGGCTTTTTAAAGCATAAATTTTTTTGTTTTTAAGATTCAACTTTCAGATTTTCCACTAGATAAAACTTTTTATCTGGTCATTCCCTATTTTGAGCACTGTTTTAATAATCTGTATATGCCATTGTAAATACCACCCTAAAGCACAGGGTAAATTTTGCTAATTTAACATGAGATTTTGATGCTATTTTTACAACTGTCAAAAAGAAAAAATGTTTATTTGCTACCCTTTTTCCATTTACCATTACTGGGGCTACTGCTAGAACTAGCTGGCCTAGAATTGCTGCCAACTACTGAAAAGGTGTCTGGGAAGTTCAGCTCTAGGACGTTAACAGAAGTCTGAGAAGCAGAAGTACTTGAACTCCTAGATGACCTAGAAGAAAAACCAGAATTGTTTGTAATTCCATGACTAAATAAATCAAAAAGTATATACAAATAGTTCTGCTAATAAAACTTAAAAGCTTATCAAGAAATTAGTTTTTAAAAAGTGAATGGTAATAGTTTAAGATAAGCAAATAATTCAACTAGTATGTTCCTATATGAGAAAGAGATGAAATCATTGAGTATTAAAAACTTGCGAAAATCATGTAAGTATTCATGGCAGCCAAAAAATGGGGCAAGGAAGTACAGGGCTTGCAAAAGTGATTAAAATTAACCAGGAGAGAAGTGAGAGGCCTAGTGACAATATCAAGTGTTCAGGTGTTTAGACATATAATTCTAAGATGACATTTTAAAAATAACTTAGGAAAATGAGACTTTAAGCAGCTGTTAGCCATATTCACAAATAAGCTTTTGTCTACTTAGACATTAAGTTTTTAGATGTAACTTTGAGGGAGATCTCTACATGGTTACTTAATAAGATTTTTTAAGGTTACTTAATAAAACAGGTAACTGGCTACTGAATGTAGGAGACTGAAATTTTGTATAATTTTTGTCACCGAAGCACAAGAGTGCTGATTAAAATATGTCCAATGATGATGATTCTGGGTAGTACTAAACTGTACAAGTAATGATAAAATCACCTGTTTAAGCAAGTTAAAGTAGCATAAAATTGATAGTGGCTATTTAAATTTTTACAATGTTTTAATCATAAAAATCACAATGTCTATACATCTAATTTGTCCTTTGGTTAAAAAAAAATTTCTCAGGTTGACCATAGTAAATATAAACTCCAAAAATATCACCGTGGTTTTATCCTACTTAAATAACTATTAGTCACAAGTACTCAGTGCCATAGTGGAAATGCTGATACAGAAATCAAAGGAATATCTTGCTCTGCTTTTTTCTCTGTCTGTCACACTGACACATAGATAAGGGGTGAGTATACCAGCAGATCTAACAGCCATGGCAATGTGGAAGTAACTGGATTCACTTAGGGTCACAGCTCTGAGGGTTAAGGGGATGGCTTTTTTTTAACCTCTCACTTACTTTGTTGATGTCAAGGAAGTCTGTGAAGGAGATCTAGAACTCTGAAGACTACGTTTAGTCTTAGGTGTAGGTAGTTCTAAACCATTCTGAAAGAATATTGAATAGCAATAATTAGTACCACTGCATCTTAGAAGGAAGACATTTTTAGATTTCACTTTATGACACATGCCATCAATTTTTTTATTCTCATGAACTGTTTTAGAAATAGAAGATGTTAATACCTGCTGAAAGTAGGTTTGAAGGATAATACTGATTTCAGCATTTTCTTGTATGACATCAATTAACATTTCATCAATGTTCTTGTGAAACTGTTTTACTTCACGAAGTTTGATGTCTTTTTCTTCTAGTGTTTCATCTTTTGTGTCTTTCAAAAAACGGATTTCACTGGTGAGTTTTGCACACTGTTGGTCATAAAACTCAATTATAAATGATCTAAGCCTTTTTTCCAAAATTTAATATTTTTCATAGATGGAAAAATTGAATTTACCATTTAGCACTCAAAAAATTAGAAATATGAGATAAGTCAACTTTTAAGAGAGATCAGTACCTGTTTAGTTACTCTTTCTAATTTTGGTTTCTGCTCCTCAATTTCTTTACTTAGTTGAAATGAGTAAGCCTGCTTCTCTGATAACTTTGCTTTGACTTTACTTGTTAAATGTTCTATAACTTCTAACGTATTTTCCATGCTCTGTAGAAAATAAAGTGTTAACATTCTTATGTTTAAAATAGAGTAATTTCTATAACTTTTTATTTTCAAGTATTTAACTCTAGTATCTACAGATGGTCCTTGAATAACATGGGGTCAGGAACACCAGCCTTGCTCAGTAAAATACCTGCATATAATTGATAGCCTGCTTTTTGTGTCTGAGGGTTCCTCTGCATCTGTCGACCCACCAGACAAAAGTTAGTTGAATTCCATGAATGAGAAATCCATGGATTAAAAATATACAATTCATGAGTAATTGATACCTTCAAACCTGCTTTCAAGAGTTGCCATAGACAGAATTCTATTAGTCCATACTAAGTGTAACGGTTTTATGGATTATACTTTGTATATAATTTTACCAGAAAGTGTTTTTATGGCACTTAAGAGAAAAATAACTTAAACAATAACTATTCAAAGACTAGTTGTGCAAAATACACAATTTATATCATATTGGCAAAAAATAAATTCTTAAAATCTTCCTTACCAAGCACATTGTTTTCTTTCAAAGATGTGCTTTGTAACTACTTTCTAAATTATTTTTCTCTTTCAAACTTTTCTTGTTTCAAAGAGCAGTCTTTAAGTAATCTTCAAGGAATTAAATGAAATAAGTGCATTAAATAAAAGTTAGCATAATTAGCTATGCTTCATCAACTAATTAACAATTGTAAGGTATCCATCCTGTGCTTATTAATAATGGATTTTAACTAAATACTTTGATCATTTATTCTTATTTAAATGAGACTTTTTGTCTAAAGAAGTACAAGATAACATGATAAAAATAATGGTGTGTTAACTATTTACCAAGGGCTTATTACTATTTACCTGGATATCTTCCTGTAGTTCTCTGATTTGTCTTTGTTTGTATCTGTATTTTTCATCAGCAGCTCTTTTTTGTTCTTCCAACTGGATTTTTAGCTCATACTCATCACCTGGAATTTAGAGAACTTTGAGGTTAAGTTTTTAAGATCCTGTGTAGAAAACAGTCTTAAAAACTTACTTGTATTAAATTCCTTATTTCTTCTAGCTACTTATTGAAAAATAGTGTAAGCATATAATGACCATTCTTGTTTTATCAACACAGAGTAGCCAACGTGCTGCTGCCATTGCTTCCAGACTTGAAATAAACTACCTAGCAAAGTGATATGTGATACCATAGAATATATAATTAACAACCCCTTAGAATTTGTTAAAAGAGAGTGAGGTGATTAATTTTTCTGATGCAATTAAATGTGGCACATTTTTATTTTCAGTGTCTCACAATGTTAAACAGTGGTTTTCCTTGTTTGACTTCATAAAAATCCCATTAATAACTCATACATACTAGATGGGGTCACTTTTTTTAAAGATTGTTTGTAATTTCTGTTACAGCTGTTCAGCACTTGCAAGGTGTTTTCCAGAGCATAAATTTCTTTTTCAGCTTTATTGATCTTAGCATCCAAACTGTCACCTTCCCTTTGAAGCTCTTCTTTTTCTTGAGCAGCCTATGAAATAGAGAATAGGGTGAACTGAATAAAATATATATCATGGGATAAATGTCTTTTTCAGGGCAGGAAATAGTTAACTTACCACAATACCAATTTGCCATGAGATCTGCAATACATGCAAAACCAAGCATTTATTTTTTTACTCTTGACAAGACCCTATCCTCAAGGCCTTCAAATACGCATAGGATACAAAACCATAATGGAAGTAGTAACTAACCAAAGCTTATATGAAATTCTCTGACATTATTAGCCAAAAAGTTTTAAAGATACAAACTTTTGCTGAAAAGAGAAATAGGTTCATTAGAAACTAGATAGTAAGTAAAAACAAAGTATGTTTCTTGTCTAAGAGGCTGAAGAACTTTCTCATTTTAAACCTTGTAAGTAAGAAAAGCAAGCAACAAGGACATTTATATGTGGTATTAGAAGTAGGATTTCAACAACTTTGAACAGTACTTCAATAGCACATACTAAAACTAGAACAATAGATAAACATAGCAGCTATCTGGAATGACACGTAAAATTGAAGCATTCCATATTTTTTAAAAGGAAAAGTACTGTATGGTTCTACTATAGAAGGTATCTATAGTAGGTAAATCAAAGGCAAGAAATGGGAAGATGGTTCACAGGGGTTGGGGGAGAGGTACATGGGGACTTATTTAATGGATACAGTTGCAGTTTTGAAAATGTAGAAAGTTTCTGGAAAGGAATTGTAGCTCTGGTTGTGAATATGCTTAATGCCACTTTACACTTAAAAACTTAAAATGAGAATTTTTATCTTACCACATTAAAAAATGTTTAAGAACTAGAGAAAGATTAATAGTTTTGTCTGTAAAATTGCTTAGTAAGCAGGCATGCTTATTTTTGTAGCTAAAATGTCATGCAAGACTAGAGTTGTTCCCAGAGAATTCCAAAGAACTCCAATTATAGGTTGACAGGGATAGCATGCATCTATATTAAAAAGTGCCAAAAAGCCATTTTTAGTCAAAATCTACTGGTTTCATTTGTTTGCTCAACCTTAGCTGTGAGGTTTTTTGTTTGTTTTTTTAAGATTTATTTATTTATTCATACAGAACTGGGGTACAGGCCAGAGATGCGAAGAGCAGAACAGGCAGATCGACGAAGTACACTGCTGAGGGGAGCAGCGGGCGGGTCAGGAGAGGTCTGCCCCACCATGTGGATCTCCTCCAGGGCAGGCAGGGATCGAACTCATACGGAAGTGGCTTTAGCTTCTTAGTGCAGTGCTTTAACCCGCTGCGCCACCAGGGAGGGCCCAGCTATGTGTTTTTAACTGTGGTCACTGGAAATGTTTTGTTACTAATTTTGAGCTTTTTACATCTTACTGAGATCTGTTGTATTATGTGTCAAGACCTGTTACATTTATTTTTATAGCATATACTACGCAATAAAACTTAGCAAAAAAAAATTGATAAATTATACCTAATTTAAATTGAGAAATAGTATCCATTTTATTTTAGATACAATATAGTAAGATCTAGAATGAATCAAAAGAGATTTTAGTTGTAGATTTTCTTTTTTTGAATTGAGTAACATTAGATAATTCACTTATCCAAGTTCAGTTTTTTTTGTTAAGAGAGATTATATTCAAAATTTTTAAACTACGAGCCATTTGCCTCTAAATCAGAGCTTATATAATGTCTGCCTTTTGTTCTGGATTAGAAAAGGTACTATTTGGAAGAAGTCTTTTTTTTTTAATACCTTTCTAGCCAGTGTTTCACTATATTTCATGGTAATTTCATGGCAGAATTCAGATTTGGGTCTAGATTGGATTATTTCCTTATAAAGAAAAAGAGAAACTTGGAAGTAAGAATGGAAGGTGTCAGTTCTGCACTGGTAACTAGTAATATTTTTTGGTCTAGCATTGAAGAGTCAGACATTTAGAAGATAGAAGGAATTAAGGGAAAAACAAAACCATGTATGCCCCATAAAGAATATTACAGGGGCAAAAAGAAGAATATGTGTTAAATTGTTTCTAAAATTGTATTGAAGCCCTAACCCCCAATATTTCATAATGTGATCTTGTTTGGAAATAGGGGCTTTGCAGATATAGCAAGTTACAATGAGATGGTTAGGATGGGCCCTAATCCAGCATAATTGAAGCTTTATAAAAATGGGAAATTTGAACACATAGATATTCCCAGAGAGAAAACTAAAGAGAAATAGGAGAATGTCATGTGAAGATGGAGGCAAAAATCAATGGTGATGCTTCCCTAAGCCATGGAACTCCAAAGGTTGCCAGTAGCGCACCAGAAAATAGGAGAGAAGGATAGAACAGATTCATTGTCACAGGCCCCAGAAGGAATCAACTATGCTAACATCTTTATCTCCAGTCTCCAGAACTGTGAGAACTTTCACCTGGATACTTAAAAACCTAAGAGGAGGAAAATTCTGTTAATATTGGTCAGGAGCCTGAGTTATGGTAAACTTGGGTTAGAAGAAGGATTTGAGAGTTGGTACTCATTTCTTACATATGTCAGGTGGCCCTTCCTGAGACAGGTTGACAGGCATATTAAATTTGGTATAAAGATTAGGGCAGACTTGAAGGGTAGCTATGGAAGAAATTTAGAAGATTATGTAGAAGAGGGAGGGAACATCTACCATCTCTAAGGTGTGAACTGAGAGGTTTCATTCCTATTCATGATGCTGGAAAAGTAATGTTATAACTTCCATTCCTTCATCATGACAAGGTTTAAGTTTTCTAGCTCTTGTCAAGGAGATCCCATCTATTCAGAGTGTTAATCTATAAGAAAGATGAATATAGCAATATTTAGGAAGACAATTGCATCTTATTCCTCATCACTTTCCCTTTGTGGGTCCCTCAGTGACTCCATCAAGCAAAAAAAAAAAATGTTTCAAGGCTCTAATTAGGTGCAGTAGTGCTATGAAATCTGAAATTTATGACCAAAACAAAATGTCACTTTAGCTGTTAAGAAAGGATACTACTTCTATCAGAACCATAACTCATTTATAATTACCTTTATTACATAATAGGCCTGTGTTTTCTCCTCTTCTCCTTCAGGAGGTAGCATAACAACAGTAAGAATTTCATATCTATTCTTCAGCTTGTCAATTTTACTTAGTCGCTCATGAAACTCAGCACTAAACAAAAAGAAGAAAAAAAGCGTTTATAGGGCCATTACTGTTCTTAAACCCAGACATCTTTCAAAACATAATTAAATAGAAATTAAAACAATGAAATGGCCCCGTATACTCATTGGAATGGCCACTATCAAAAAAGATTTCATAAAGAATGTGAAGAGACTGGAACCCTCTGCACTCTTTGGAGCTGTTGTGGAAAACAATATGGCAGTTTCTCAGAAATCTAATAGAAGTATCACGAACTCTAGCAGTGCCGCCTGAGCGTGCATAGCTCAGAGGTAAAAGCAACTCAACTGCTCATTGATAGGTGAGTAGATGAAAAATTACAAATTCAATGGACTGTTAGTAAGGAAATTCTTCCACAACATGGAGAAACCTTGACATTATGCTAAGTGAAGTCACAAAAAGACCATATAATTCCACTTAGGAAGTATCTAGTCGAAAGGAAATTTAAATGGTTATCAAAAGCAAGGGTGAGGGGGAAATGGCAAGTTTCTATTTTAAGAGTTTTACAAGTTCTGAAGAAATCAAGTTCTGAAGATCTGTGACAACAGTGTGAGTATACTTAACACTAATGAGCTCTACACATAAACAGTTAAAATGGAAATTTTTATTGTTACATGTTCTTTACCAAAAGAAAAAAAAAACAGTTCAAAACAGAACATACCTCTCCTTTGTAAGGCATAATAATACAATTGTCTCCCAAGGTTTAGGTTTTAAATCTGCTGGTTACTTTTTTCTACCCATTAAATTTTTATTTTAGAAGCCATTTTGAACTTTTAATCATGCTAATATAAGAACTTTAATAATGTGACCAGAAAGGTAACTCAGTTGCTTACTTGAACTTCATGAAGTTCTAACCAGCCATGGTTAGAACATCAACTTGCCAGTTTTTCTATTCTTAGTAAAATGCATTAAGTATCAGAAGGTACAGCTTTGCTTATTTACAAGTATTGTTCAATTTTCAGAAAATATTTATACTTTATGTAAAGTCCTTTTTTGGATGGTTTAAAGATGTATGGGATACAAGTTTGTATCCCTACTTCCTAAAACAGGGAAGGGGGGGAGCTCTGGGTATAAGAAAGACTTTTGATGAACACATGGAAATCAGAAGGGATAAGATTGATGTGGGGCAAGGGGTTGAAATGCACACAGAAAAACTGCAGAAGTAAGAGCCATTTTCACCAAAGAAACAATGAGAAAACCCAAACTCGGGAATAAGAAAAAGAACAAGGGAAGTCTCTAAAGTTATTATCAAGGTATTTAATAAAAGGATTGCCTATAAGACATCTAGGACTCATTCCTCAATCCCTCAAAGTATACAGAGAGATTGGCAGGACGTGTGTATATGTGTGTGTAAACTTGGGGAACTAAAATAGCTCCCAGATCACCAGTGTTCCTAGCATTGTGTGAGAACTGCAGAAAAATGTAAAATATGAGCCACAATGGTGGAGAACAATGAAAAAGGTAGTTCCACCTAGGAAGAATGTGCTTCAGTGCCCAAAATAAAGGACAAACACCTTAGGTTCCTTAAGGGAAAGACTAGCCCAGAGTCTACAATGAGTCTGTCCCATTTAGGGGACAACTTGATGAGAAAGATAACTAACTGTTCTACTATTTGTCTTACCTGTAGCATTTGTTAGTAAACATAATAGAAAGGCACATTTACTGAAAGCTAAAAACAGGAATTAAAACAACAAGAAAGTAAACAGGCCAGAGAAGAATCAAAGACAATACATGGGATATGAGGATTTTCAAAGTGTTCTAGTGTCCTCTGCAAGAGGAGAGGCTATTGCATTCCAAGATACGCAACTGGGCTGTTATGAAAAGCAGCAATGAAGGAACAAATTCTTTCAAATATATTTTTCAATTATCAATAGTAGCAAAGAACAAGAATTGAATTAGGATAGAGATGAGAAAAGAGGGAACAAAGAAGATGGAAGGGGAATGAAAATGAGTATATCTGGAATAAAAAAGTTTAAAGTGAGAAAAAAATCTGGAAGACATATCTATGAGGGTCACCTTCCACTAAAAAAATGAGCAACAAAAAAATGGTATGAGATAAAAGAGTAATAATCTATTTCCCTCAACTACAATGACACATTTAAAAATCATACCAAGAGTCAAACAAAAATGAAAAGAGGAAACATCTAGACACATACATGTAAATTCTAAAATACCAAGGATAAAGTGTCCTAAGGCTTTCAGAAAGAAAGAAACCAAATACCCTTCAAAATAAAATGAATTAGCCTGGAATCAGACATCTCATAAATAATACTTTAATTGTAAAAAATGCTTCAAACTTGAAGTGTAATTCAAATACATTTTAAACATACAAAGACTCATTTCAGAAAACATCAGTTCCCAGAGTGTACTGGGAATCAAAAAAATTTCAGAAAACATCAGTTCCCAGAGTGTACTGGGAATCAAAAAAATAAAGAGTTCAGGGCCCTCCCTGGTGGTACAGCAGGTTAAAGCACAGCACTAAGAAGGTAAAGCCACTTCAGCATGAATTTGATCCCCACGGAGGTGGTGATCCACATGGCGCGGCAGACCTCTCCTGACCCACCCACTGCTCCCCTCAGCAGTGTACTTCGACGATCTGCCTGTCCTGCTCCCCACTCTGGTGAGCCCTCTCACTGCCCCTGCACCTCTGGCCTGTACCCCAGTTCTGTATGTATAAATAACTCAGTCTTTTTTAAAAAAGAGTTCAAAATAATATTAAAGCAGGAAACCAGAATGGATATTCCACAAAGAGGAAAAAATTAAAAATAAAATTGTTAAGGCCCTCCCTGGTGGTGCAGCGGGTTAAAGCACAGGACTAAGAAGCTAAAGCCACTTCCTCATGAGTTCGATTCCTGCCTGCCCCGGAGGTGACCACATGGCGTGGCAGACCTCTCCTGACCTGCCCACTGCTCCCCTCAGCAGTGTACTTCATCGATCTGCCAGTTCTGCTCCCCACTCTGTCTCTGGTGAAGCCTCTCGCCACCCCTAAGCCTCTGGCCTGTACCCCAGTTCTGTATGCACAAATAAATAAATCTTTAAAAAAAAAATTGTTAAAACCAATGAAAGATAAAATGAATACCTACTGTATGGTCCAGCTACTCGATCCAAAAGAAAAGAAAGCATAGACTCATACCACAAACATGTTCACAGAAGCTTTATCTGTAACAACCAAAAACTGGAAATAATGCAAAAGTTCATCAGCAGGTAAATATATAAACTAATCTTTAATAAATGTATAGTTTGAGACACACTACTCCACAATAAAAACCTAGGGTAGGGTCACCAGCCAGCCTGCCTGATGCTAGTCTTTATACAGCCCATGAGGAAAGAGCTTCTACATGTTTAAGTGTAAAATGGCTAGGAAAGAGCAAAACAAGAACTATATTTCATGAAAATATCTATGAAATTCAAATTTCAAGGTCCATAAAGTTTTATTGGAATACAGTCACACTCATTTATTTGCATAGTGTTTGTACTGCTATTCATTCTACATCACAGAGTTTGAACTGTGGTGGCAGACCAGATGTCCTGCAAGTCCTATACTTACTGTCTGGCCCTACAGAAAATAGTGTGTATGATGCAACAATATTTAGAGGAATTGCTTAGCCCACAGAAAAGAATGTTAATTAGCTAAGCACTTGTATCAAGTTAGAAAAACAGCACCAAAATATTGCCACAAAATGAAGAATAAAATAGTAAAATGAGAGCAGCAATCATAAAATAGGAAATAAATTCATAATGGAAAAAATCAGCATTATTTTGAAAGAATAATAACATTGATTAAATACTGGAAAGTGTAACCAGACCCAAAAAAAGAAGTCACAAATAAAGAACATCAGGAAATGAAAAACTACAAACACCAAAACTTATTAAATAAATAATAAAACAATGATGTGAACAATTTTATGGCAGTAACTTTGAGATGAAATGGAAAATTTTCCCTAGAAAAACAACTCATTCAAAAAGGCATACAAAATCTGTATTGTATTATAAACTATAAATAAACCGAGCCAGCACATGAAAACTCCTTCTCAAATAAACTCCAGATATCCAATGATTTACCAGTGAGGACTTTGAACTACAGAAAAATAAGAAACATATCTGAGGAGATCTGAACCTGTTCTAAATCATGTACAGTGTCATAAGCCAATGTTACTTTAATAATAAAGAGAGATTAAGAAAAGATAAAACATTATTTTTGGAAAACAGACATAACCATAATATGTTAAATCAGTAAGGGCAACAGAGAAATGAGAATTAAAAGCATAGATTAAAAATGCTGCAAAAGCAACTTGGATGGAGCTGGAAAAGATCATGCTTAGTGAGATAAGCCAGAAAGAGAAAGAAAACCGGATGGTTTCACTCATAGCAGGAGTATAATGGACCAATCGAGAAAATAACAAAAATAATGAACAACCAAATACCAGAGACATTCTGTGGGGGTGGAGTGGGGAATGGGATCAAAAATGGGGGGGGGGGAGGGTAAGGGAGGGAAATGCATGGAACTATGGTGGTGGCACAGGGGTGATCTGGTGATGGGAAACCCGCGGGGATTACAATCGAGATGGAAAAAAAAAATGTGCAAAATGATGTAAAAATAAACTTTGTAATAATAATAAAAAAAAATGCTGCAAAAATCTAGATATATGCAAAACATAATGTGATAAACCAGTTGTGTTTATTCCAGAAACAAAGTTCTTTTAAGTTTGAAATATCAATGTACTTTTTTACATTATTAGGTTAAAGAGCTATAGCACATCAATGAGTGCAGAAAGAACAATATAATAAAAGTCATCATCCATATCTGATTAAACAAACTAAAAAACCTTTCAGCAAAGATGAAGGGGTGGGATTTCCCTTAAATATTATCAAGAATATTGCACACACACACACACAAAAAAAATGCTGAGTAAACTTCATACTTAGTGATAAAACAATGAAAACTTTGCCTGTGATGTCAGGCACCTGCAGTCACCATTGCTATTCACCACTGAACAGGTGGGTAGGTAACAAGGGCCAACAAAGCAAGACAAAAGAAAATGTACATGTGTGTCAACATTGCATATAATATTCATACACACACACACACATATTCATTGCAGCACTATTTCCTATAGCCACATGTTGGAAACAACCTAAGTACTTGAAGATTAAGGATTAAGATTGTTGTGGTATGTAACCCACCAAAATGCATCAAAGGACAAACTTGTTCGCTCCTGAGAGGATAATCTACAAGTTATCCAGAAGGGCACTAAACCCAGAGCATTCCATGACATGGAGTGAAACTGGACCTCTTGGACATTGGACACTAGCACTTTTCCTTAAGATCTAGTACAAGACAATGGTAGTTACATAACAGCCAGGAATAAATACTATACAAGATATTCAAAACCTCTAGGAAAATTTGTTGCCATATATGCAGTTATTGGGTATCCTTTCCCTAATGGACCTTTACTACAAATCATACACAAAAATCAACTCGAAAAAGACTGATGATTTTAATATAAATGAGAGAATGAGGAGTTAGCAAAAAAGAGAAAGAAAGAAGCATAGGCCTATGGTAAAATATATCCTATACATTAAATGTTTTTTTCTGACAAAAAGATGAACATTTAAGATGGTGAAGGGAACAGTCCTGACACCACATCATGCTTTCAAAATTCTTTAGCAGTATTTTAAAATTCTCATTACCTTATGTTTTGTCGTTCTTGATCAACATATCTTATTTGTGATGTAAGCATTGCTTTGTGAACCTTAATTTCTTCTGTTCGCTCTTCCATAGCTGTGTGTAATTGCTGTTTTCTTTTCTCCAGAGAAAGCACTTCTTCTGCCTTACTGTGAAGCATTTCTCGAGTACGTTTAACTTCTAGTTTTAAAAGGTTGTCTTCTATCATCAAATCCTATCAACATACAAAATTGTCAAATATTGAAATAAGTATTTTTATATCTACACCACTGTTACAAAAAAAGAAATCAAACTTGAAAATATATTATTTTCTTACTTGGCCATTGGCCAAATAATATCACATAATTTAAAAAAATACTTTTTAAAATATTTTTATTTAAGCATAAATATTAAAAATGTTCTGTTTATGGCCCTCCCTGGTGGCGCAGCAGGTTAAAGCACAGCACTGAGAAGCTAAAGCCAGGTCCACATGACTTCGATTCCTGCCTGCCCTGGAGGTGACCACATGGCGTGGCAGACCTCTCCTGACCCGCCCACTGCTCCCCTCAGCAGTGTATTTCCTCGATCTGCCTGTTCTGCTCCCCACTTTGTCTCTGGTGAAGCCTCTCGCCACCCCTGAACCTCTGACCTATACCCCAGTTCTGTATGTATAAATAAATCTTTAAAAAAAAAATGTTCTGTTTAAAAATAAAATGTTTAAAACAACAATTTTTTAAATGCAGACTAAAACAATGAGATACTAGATTTGCTTATCAAATTCACAACTTTATGAATAATAATATCCAGCTTTAGCAGTGGTAAAATATGTTTACAAGTTATTGGTAGATGCATTGACTGAATCCTCTAGAGGATTTAAACTTAAAAATAATTTCAAGATAGGCCTTCCTGGGTGGTGCAATGGGTCAGGACACAGAACTGCAAGCTAGCAACAGCCACTTCAGTGCAAGTTCCATCTCCAGCCCTGGAAGTGAGCCACATGGTGCAGCAGACCTCTTCTGACCCATCTGCTGCTCCCCTCAGCAGTGCAATTTGTCGATTTGCCTTTTCTGCTCCCTACTCTTCTCTGGTGAATCCTCTCACTGCCCCTGCACCTAATAAATAAATATCTTTAACTAAAAAAAAAATAGTTTCAAGAAAACAAAAATATTCACTTTGTTGAACAAATAACATGTGTAAAATACTTGATTGTACTACTTAGAATAACCAAACATTGGAAATAGATGTAATCCCAAAATAAAAGACAGATAAATAAAAATGGTAATTTCATGCAATGAACTGTGTAGGAAGCCTTTAAAAATATTTTTTAAAGAATATGTAATGTTTTGGAAACATGGACAATATGCTAAAAAATAAAAAAACTATAAATACAATAAGTAAAGTCAATTTTCTTTGGAAGGCTGAAAGGAAATAACATATACTGTCTTATATATGATTATAGTAATTTATTTTCTTTAAAATTTAAATTTTCCAACATGGAAGCAGCCCAAATGCCCAAAAGTAGATGACTAGAATAAAAAGATGTGGCACATATATACAATGGAATATTACACATGTCTTTTGCAGCAACTTGGATGGAGCTGGAAAAGATCATGCTTAGTGAGATAAGCCAGAAAGAGAAAGAAAAATACCGGATGGTTTCACTCATAGCAGGAGTATAATGGACCAGGTGAGAAAATAATTTCTGTGTGGGTGGAGTGGGGAATGGGATCAAAAACGAGTGGGGGGGGGGGAGGGAAGTGCATGGGATTATGGTGATGGCACGTGGGTGACTTGGTGATGGGAAACCTGCAGGGATTACAATTGAGATGGAAAAAAAAATGTACAAAATGATGTAAAATAAACTTATAAAAAATTAAATTTTCCTACTATTAGCATGAAAGCATGTAGTTTTTGATATACACATATTAAGATTTTATTGTACCTGTTTTAAAGTTTTGGCTTTCTTAAGTTCTTTCTCTGATCTGTCATTGAAAAGGTTTAGTTCATTTATTTTGGTCATGAGGGACTGTTTTTCATCACAATTTTTATCATTTGCCTTCTTGATAAAGTAAAGATCATTCTATAAAAGGAAAAAATTTACATAAATATATATTTTAAAAAACTATTATAAATGACATATACTATTAACATAGCTTAACACTAAATTATACTCCATTAGTTCTTCATAATCTCATTCTTGTATAATTTCTCCATAAATACATATAGTCACATAAAAACATATTTATTGTTATCATCTATTGATGAGTTCCACAATTGACTCTAGTTAACCTATAGGGAAAAGTAGGAGGAGGGAACCCAAACTTCTATTCAATACATAGTTTAACTCAAGTACCAGAAAGGTAAAAACATTAACAGCCTGAGAAAGTATAGGGCCTTGATCAACAGCAATAACTCTGAAATCAGATGTCTAATTATATATTTGTCATCTGACCCTAGTCAGCAACTTCTTTTTCCTGTTTTTTTATTTCTAAAATAACAATTTCTTCTCCCCTGGGTTGTTGTGAAGATTAATTAAGGAAGCAACTGCCAAAGATTATGTATACAGTGTTTGACATAAAAGCATTTCATATAAAATTACTATTAATATATTAATTACACATTTATATTAGTGATCATTATTAATAATATATTGATTATATAGTAATATATTAAGGGTACACTGTTATATAAGCACATGAGAAAAACATTAGGTAAGATCTAATTCCAATGGTTGTGTCAACAGGTTTTGCATCCCGGACATCAGGTTCCTATTCTATACCAGTTCGTAGCCCTCTTCCCACTCAGAAACCAGAATAAATTTATGCTCTTAGTCCCCTTAGTAAAAACCTAATTCTAATTCCAAGATCTGTTATTCTCTTTCTCATTCTCTCTCTTGCACCTTCTTCTCTGCTTTTCTCATTCTCTGAACTATCAGGACTGAGGATGGCAGCTAAGTGGCAAGAAGAATAATGTGATTTCCTAAAATTAATTATGGAAAGAAAAACTTAAATGTAAGATGATTTTCAACCAGAAGAAATTAGTTTATGTTATGCAGAATAAGAGATGCAGTGTTTTGAAGAGGGACTGCATAATCACTTTACAATCTTGTTGCTACTATTGAGAATATTCATTATAAGGCCAATAGCTTCAATATCTTTAAATATTCACTTGAATTTGAATTATCTATTTCTTTGTTAAAACTAGAGTTAGGACATACATATGTAGTGGCCAGCAGCATAATGGATAGATCCCGTATAATAATTAAAAGAGTGATAACATTATCACACAGCAAAAGAAACACAATTTATATGCTTGGTTCAAGAAACACGTTCAGATGTAAAAGTCACTCTCCTATTATTCTACAGCATTAATAGTCTCAAATTGTAGATAACCAAGGCAAACCATTTACTTTTTACATTTTACTATATTTCACATTTTGAGGAAGTTAAAAATGTTATTAGTGGTATAATCCTGGCATTCAAAAACCAGCTTTTTCTGATACTAAAACATTCTTTACCACTAAACCAAGGAAGTAGTTAAAAATATTTAATCAGGTTTAAATCTACTCCAAACCAAAATTATGTCATCTAAAAAATTTTTAATACTTAATTTTTAAAATAGCTCCCTAAAGAAATTCAGGGCAATTCTTCTTATAACCACTAGGGGACTCTCATCATTAGCCTTTCTAGCTGTTTAAAAAATATTCAACCCTTTGTAATTAACACCAAGTCTTTGAGTGCCTGCTCTTCCTGGAGTTCTTGTTCAGGTCCCTGCTCCCATTCCTTCACTCTTATGCTCCAGTTAAATTTTAACATGAGTTTTATATTACATAGGTTCCTCTGACATAAGTTTTATATTACATGAACATAATATATATAACATAAAGTACATTTCAGCTTAACAAAATTGAGTAATTGTAACTATTCTAACTATTGTAACTAAGTAAATGTTTCAGTAATGATAAACCATAAAAGAGCAGCTTTAAATGTCATTTCAAAGCTAAAGACAAGTTATTATTATAGATCTATAACAGAAAACTGGGGTTTTTAAAATCATGTACCTTTTGAGTATTTTGAAGCCAGATGAAGCAGGGTTAAATTCTAGCTGTGTAATCATGGTCAACTCACTTAATCTGCAAAGTAGATGATAATATCTTCCTCACAAGAGTTTTATAAGGATTTATTGAAATAAAATACTAAGAGCATGTAATATATTTAGTTTATATTAAGTATAAAATCAATGGTAAAACTTTGTTCTCACAGTGATTATATTAATATGCACATCTGTTCAGACATGTTTTATATGTGAGGAGGTTGGCAATCATCTTAGCCAACGTAAATTCTTAGGAACATATCACCTTAAAGTAGAACAACTAATGACTAGGGTATTTTAAACATAAAGTATTTTGGCAAGTTACCTGCAGCTTCTTGATCTGTACTTCCAAAAGTTCAAATGTAGACATCTTCCCTTCCAGTGTCTTTTTAAGTTCAACAATTTTTGCTTCAAGGGCTTGTTTTTCTTCTGAATTAATATCTCCCTTTAACCGAGACATTCGACGTTCCACTTGTTGAATATAAAAATCCTGTTACAGTTTTTAAAAGATAAATTAGCAAGGAGAAATAAACAGAACCATTTTTGTAAGTATAGAAACATAACACATATAAAAACTTAGTAATTATGGCTCGCATGTCTTCATTTACTAAATTCATTTTAATCCTTCAGTAATTTATAGGATAAAATCCTTATTTTAAGGAAACAGCAAACTATTCAACAACCAAAGTACATGATAATCACACAGAAATCAATCCCTGAAAATATAATCAAGTCAGCTATGGAGATATTTATCATGCTATCATGATGGAATTTCATTAAATCCCCTGGATTTATTAGGACATGCATCTACAAGGGTCTATTTTATGAGGGATGCAAAAAAAAAAAGGTTGTAAGACTCAAATATGATGAAACTTAAGTGAATTATTTTAAAAATTATACTTCAGCATCTGTAATTTTGAGAAACTAAGAATATATATTACTAGAATTCGAAGACTAGAGAAGACATTAAGATATTAACATCAGCCCAACACCGATGACTAGATAAAGAAGAGGATGAAGTATATATGTAAAAAGAATACTGCTCAGCTATTAAAATGAAATCTTGCATTTTTGACATGACTGGAACTGGAGTGGATTTGGGGATGGGAAGACAACATGACTAACAATCACATACAGTTTTCCTCAGTTTCAGATATACCTCTCCTTTTTTGTTTTGTTCCAGCTCCAACTGCCACAGGTTCCTTTAAAGCTGGTTCGCCCTCATTTGAGTTGTTTATCTTCTTATAGGCTTACTTTAGATCAAGAACAAAAATAGCCTTTAAGTCTCCTTTACCCCTACTACTGATTTAACAAGGTATCCCTTCTTCAGTATCTGTCCATTCCTCTAAGAGTGCTTAGAAATCTTGGTTTTTTTAGAATGCTAAGAACACAAAATGAAGCATCTACAGTGACTCAATAAGGAAGAGATTCATAAAAGAAACTTCTACCTGATTGTACATAATTTCTTGCTGCTTCAAGGTTTCAAAATCCAGTTTATGTAACTGATTGTTGAGGTGTTTTAGAGAGGAACGCGTTCCCTCAATTTCCGATACAACAGCTTTTTCTTTCATTGTCTCAGTCTGTAATTCCTGAACTTTCTTAAACAGCACACCTTTCACTATGTTCAACTGAACTTCCACCTCCTGGCAATTAGAATAATAGTGATTAATAAAGTTACAGTCCTTGAAATATGTTATTACTTAAACATAACTTAAGAGGTTGTTAATTATCACCTCACATTTTAGTTCTTGTGGATATGAAGAATTTTCCACAATTTCAACAAACCCCCAACATTTAGAATAAGTCTATCCTAGTAGACTACAATAGTCCTTCCTTATCTATTCCTATAGACCTCAATTTGTTGTCTTAATCCTATTCCTTACTAGCATAGCCTCAAATGTGACACCCCACGAGCTCCCTTAAAAAGCAAAATAAATCAGAAACACATAGCTCATTAAGTTTACAAAGTCACATCATCCAATCTCCTCCCTTTTTCTGGGGACTAATCAATGGTAAGCAGGCCAAGGTGCACCCACCAGTATCCAGCACATGGGAAGTTAGGGGGAAGAGTCTGAGTTCCATGGTGTGAATACATGGACTATGGTCAATATTAAGCTACTAATTTGATGCCACTAAATGCATAGTTAAAAGGGGCCCCGTAGAAGCAGACCACTATATAGTATTTTCACTCCACGGGTACAATAGATGCAAGTAATCTTAACTACCCCTTTAGATCAAAGAGCTTAAAATGGAATAAAATATTTTAGAAATGAGGAGTGCTGCATACTTACTGTTTTTTAATGTAATTTATTCTGAGTTATATTTCTAAATTTCAATTATATTATCACACCAAGATATAGTGAAAGTACCAATAATTAACATTCAAATAATTTCCCTATGTGTCTGTATCCAAATAAGCATATTTCCCTTTGCAGTCAATGAATTTCAGGAAACAAAAAAACAGGAAACAAAAAAAAAGCCTGTGATTAGAACACTAAAATTTTTACAAATCAAAAATTATAGTTTTATATAATCTTATAAACTGCATTATTTTTATATAATATACAATTTTGAGTAGGTTTAAGACCTTACTAAAAAATTGCCTGACAAAAATACAATTATGGCATATTTGGGCAAAAAGAAACACATGAAGGAAAACAGATTAATGTTTGAATGCCATCTAGGGATAGGTGGAAATAAGGTAGAATGGAGAGAAAGAATGGGTAGTCTCGGATAAGTTTTCTGAAAACATTTCTGTTGTACAACTCTAATTTTAATGTTAGTGTTTCACATGTTCAAAATAAATAGAGACAGAAAAATAAAATTAACAAAAAGGAGAAACGCTTTAAAATGCCACACAAAAACAAAATGGCCAGAACTATATTTTCAGTGAACATAACCACACTGAGGGTAAGATTAAGAACTCGTCCATTATTTAGTCCACATGCCACTGTATTAAAAAAAGAGAAAACAACTCAAAAAAATTACTGATCACTAAAAGTAACAGCAACAACAGAAAACCACAAATGGGAGAGACAGGAAAGCAGACTCATAAAAGATCTTCCACTCCTTTGCTCTCAAGAGTTTAATTCACTGTTAGTAAACATGCTGTGATCTTGTGAAAATTAAAACCAAACTTTACCTTTGTACTTCTTTCCTCCTCTCTTAACATATCTTCCAAATTGGTTGCTTTCTCTTCAACAGACATAGTTTGCTCAGTTATTTGCTTTAATTTTTTGTTAATAATATTATTATGATTTTTAATTTTGTGTAACCTAGACAAGGCATATGAGGAAAAAAACAGAAAATAGGTTTAAAAGGTATTTAATGCAAACAAATAAGCAATAGTTGGCAATTCTAAGATTTCTTCTTGTATCTTGAAAGTTTCCTTTGCCATAAACCTGTTTATTACCTATATATTTAATGAGACATTGCTTTGTGTTGAGAACTCATGTTTAAGGTTAATAATTTAGTAACTAATTTTATAGTTATTTTTAAAAATATGTAATTTTTTTTCTTGAATCAATGGAAGACCGTAAGTTTACTTAAATATCTTTTTTTTTTGCTTACTTTGCTGTTTCTTCCTGAATATCCTTCTTTAGTTTGCAAGTATTTTTCCTTAGAGCTTCTAAATCACTGGAACTTCTACTCACAGTGGCTTTTAAGGAATCCAGCTGTTCATTAGTCAATAAACATAAAAGCATGTATTTGTATCATATAAAATACTTTCATTTACAAATAAACACTGTAACTATGTTTCTATAGTACATGTTAACAGTTTTTCTTGTTGGTATAATATTAAATTTTAAATGACTTATAGAATACTGGAGTGTTAAATGCATACTAAAGAAAAAGCTTCACAATAAGGATTTGGAAAAATTTGTGAAATGATACTGAAGACACAAATAACAAGGAGAAAAAGTTGGCAAATTGGATTTAATTGACATTTAAAACTTTTGTGCATAAAACAGAAATCTAAATAGAGTAAAAATGTATTCCATAGGATGAAAGAAGGTATTTGTAAATCATGTATCTGTTAGTGGTTTAATGCACATCACATGCAGATAACTCCCAAAACTCAACAACAAAAATGTTTCAGATCTGAACAAACAACTTGAATAAACATTTCTCCAAATAAGAGTTATAAATAGCCAAAAGCAAATAAAAGATGTTCAACATCACTAGTTATTAGGGAAATATAAATCAAAATTGGAAATGGTGGGAATTAAATACCACCTTATACCCTTTAGGATAGCCACTATCAAAAATAAATGTATGTTGATAAAGTTATGGTGAAATCGTAACCTTTGTGCACTGTTGGTGAAAATGCAAAATGGGAAAGTAGTATGGCAATTCCTCAAAAAATTAAAAATAGAATCACCATGTGATCAAGCAATTCTATAACATGTGATCAAGCTATTCATAACAGCATTATTCACAAAGCTAAAATATAGAACCAACCCAAGTTTCCACACCAAGATGAATGGATCAGCAGAATATGGTATAAGCATATGGAAAATTATTCAGCCTTTAAAAGGAAGGAAATTTTGATATATGCTGCAAAATGTATGAAACTTGAAGACACTATGCAAAGTGCAGGTCACAAAAAGATAAATGTTGTACTATGCCACTTATATGAGCTACTTAGGAGTAGTCAAGTCATAGAGATAAAGTTGATGGCAGTTGCCAGGGGGTGGGAGGAAGGAGGAATAGAGAATTAACATTCAATGAGCACAGATTTCAGTTTTACAATAAGAAAAGAGTTAGGAGATAGACAGTGATGGTAGCTGCAAACATTAATTCATCTAATATCAATTGTATGTTTAAAAATGGCTAACTAGTAAATGACATGTTATTTATATACATCTTACATTTTAAAAGTTTGGAGAAAAATATGAAATACTGACACATGCTACAACGTGGATGAATCTTGAAAATGTGTAAGTAAAAGAATCCAGATACAAAAGGTCCCAGATTACATGATTTCATTCATATGAAATTTCCAAAATAAGCAAATTCATCAGCACAGAGATTAACAGGTTCCAGAGGTTGGTAGGTAGGGGGAGAGACGAGTGATTAATAATGGGGATGAGACTTCCTTTGAAGTGACAAAAATATTCTAAAATTAGAGTGGGGATGGTTACAACAATTCTATGACTATAATTTAAAAAAGAAAATATTGACTTGTATAACTTAAAAAAGTGTACAAGGGTGAATTATAGTATGTGAATTACATCTGAATAAACTGGATGAATGAATGAATTACTGTATATTTTTCTGAAATTGGTTTAAACTTTAATTTTTTTAAACTAAAGTATTTCAAAATTATCAGAAATAAAATGTATAACATGTATAAATGAATATTCCAATTTCCCACCTAAACAGGGATAATCAGATAATAAGGCTAAAAGGCACAAGTCATAAAATCTATTTACTGTTAAGGAAGGGCTCACTAAGTCTCCCTTTGGAATAATCTAGTTAGCATATATGCCTGCAAAAGAAGAGAGAAAAAAGCAGTTTTGTCCTAATTATCTCAAGGAATTTTACCATTATATTGATATTTTATGATAGAAATATTAATCCTTAACAAGATTTGAAATTTAAAATGACCATACACATAAAGCACTGGAAAGACACTTTAGGTTAACAGTGTCTTTACATTTGCCCATTTGCTTTAAGTAATTATGCTTATTTTTATTTGTAGTAAATATATAAACAAGTCTTTTTTGTTGACATACCTCATCCTTCAGCTGATTTCTACTAGTTTCATGGTGCTGATATGCCATTCTACATTTTAAAATTTTACGATCAGCAATAGAAATTTTTTTCTCAAATTCTGTGTTATTCCCAATTTCATTTTCCAAAAACTTGATCTTTTCCTTAACCAAAGTCTCTTTTTCTCTTGTTTCCTGCTTTATCCTTGCTAATGCCTGGGATTAAAAGAACACATTAAATAGAGTTAGTATAAGAAAACTAAAACCAATGGGAACTTAGTTATTATTTTTCTATCATAGTCAGTATTTCTTTTAGATCTAAAATTTCTGAATTTTGGATATTGAATATTTTTTTAAAGATTTATTTATTTATTCGTACAGAACTGGGGTACAGGCCAGAGATGCAGAGGGTGAGAGGATTCACCAGAGACAGAGCAGGGAGCAGAACAGGCAGATCGACGAAGTACACTGCTGAGGAGAGCAGCAGGTGGGTCAGGAGAGGTCTGCCACGCCATGTGGTCACCTCTGGGGAAGGTGGGGATGGAACTCATGTGGAAGTGGCTTAAGCTTCTTTGTGCTGTGCTTTAACCTGCTGCACCACCAGGGAGGGCCAATGAGAATATTTTTTTAATGAAAGCCTATTTTATATAAAAACAAAATACTGGTATTATACACACAAATATCTGTAAGTCCATATTTTTAAAGGTCTCTATATTTTCTTTCATTTTATCTGTAATTTGTTAAACAGATGAAAAAAATCCAATGTCTTATAAACAACATATATGATTTAAACAAAAAAAGTTGAATATTTTTCAAATGCAAAGTTGGATTTCAATGTAGTTTTCCAAATATTGCACTAGATTTTTCATCTTTTGAGAATAACATTTTAGTTACAGATTTCAATAGGAATGCCTTTTTCACTCAAGACTTTTGCTAGTCTTCACAGTATAAAACAAGATGAACACACACAGCAATAACTGAGATGTACATAAAGTACTGTGGGAACAGAGAAAAAATGAAGTCTTCCCCACAGGAGTCCTAGGAGGTATTACCTGAGAGGCTTTGAGTCAGGCCTGAAAAAATAAATGGAGATGTATAAGTACACTAATGAGGTCAAAGTAAAGGGTGAAAAAGGAATGGGTTATATGAAGTAGGTACCAAAGAAAGGGGTGAAAAAGGAAAAATAGAGCTTAGAGTCAAATTCAAATGCCATGTTAAAGAAGACCAACTCTGAACCAATATGGAACAAGACAGCATTTTTTTAAATTGTATGTGATTTTTTACAAAAAACTCTGGTAGCAATATGTTGATAGAATTGGAGGGGAAAAGGAAAAACTACCCTAAAAAAAAATTTTTTTTTCACATTTTTCAGGACATTTTTCCCACCCAACAATTAACCGCAGGAGTTTGCATGGGGGTATGGTATGTATTCTGATATCTTAAGTTTTAGAAATGCTGCATTTAATGCTATACATATTAGCATGTTAAATGAATATAAATCTGAGATGCAGTCCATTTTTTAAAATATTTTAAATGTGTTTATCTAGTATTTCCATATGCTTTTTAGAACACCTTTCTGTAACTGTATTTTTCTATCTATTACTGTTTTCACTCAACCACAGGACATCTCAGAATATTCTAAGTTTATATATTTCAAGTGATCATACTAGAATTTGCTGCTTACACTCTTGTACCACTTAATCAGTTGCTTTAATACCGACTTCAACATTCATATTTTGGACAGTGCTACCTATTCACATTTAAGTTTTCATATAGGTGACACTTATAACTAATATCCCAAAATTCTGACACTAGAATAAATATATAATAAAACAATATTTTTCTAAGTATTATAAAATGTATTTTTTCAATCTTATGAAAGTTTCTTTTAAGAGTCCTGGAAAATATGAAAAAAAAAATTTAGGATAGGTTTTCCTTTTCCCCTCCAATTCTATCTACATATTGCTACCAGAGTTTTTAGGGGCCCTCCCTGGTGGCGCAGCGGGTTAAAGCACTGCACTGGAAGGTTTAAGCCACTTCCCCATGAGTTCGATCCCCGCCTGCCCCAGAGGAGATCCACATGGCACGGCAGACCTCTCCTGGCCCGCCGGCTGCTCCCCTCAGCAGTGTACTTCGTCGATCTGCCTGTTCTGCTCTCCACTCTGTTCCTGGTGAATCCTCTCACCCTCCACATCTCTGGCCTGTACCCCAGTTCTATATGAATAAATAAATAAATCTTAAAAAAAAAGTCGATTTTAGTTTATACAGCTAAATTCCTACCAAGACAGAATCAGAGAAGGCTTACTTTGGAGAAAGAGAGACAAAAGGATCCAATCTCAGATTAAATCCTTTAGTGTCATGAACCAGCTGTCACTGGCTCATCAGAACTGCCCTACATATCTCTTCTCAAATCTGTGTTGTCACATCATTTTGGTGTAGAAGTAGTTTTAATAAAGAAATCAGAAATGCCAAGAATTGTGGGGGAGAGTGGTGGATGAGGGTTTTCTTCCATTTTGTTTTGTTCTCAGAGAGCCAAATACTTAGAAGTATACCATATCTATGAAAACACTTCTTACCACCCTCCCTAGTCTTCTACAATGTAGAAAACAAGCAAGTCAACCTGCAAATGGGAAACACTAGTATGTGTTCTGCCAAATCAGAAAACTGGGTCAATTTAATTGTGGGGTTCTATTAGAATGCTGAACTGGATCTGCAATCTTGAATCTGGAACATTTGAATTACACAAAATAGGCAGTGAAGTCTTGAGTGTGAAAACAGTAAAAAGTCAAGAAAATGAAGCCAACATCAGAATTAAGAATTAAAAAGAACTCATAGTTACAACTGGTTCTTCCTTGACCCTCCCAGCGAGGTATAGCCTGTGTTCATAAAATGTTCGACACTTGCAGAAATTTAAAGACTCAAAAGTAAACCACATCCAGATATCAGAATTCCAAATTCCCAGTGATTGAGTGTTTACTAAATGCCTTTCCATGGAGTAGAATCACAATGGAATTTAATACAGCTTCTCAACCAACTGTCCTTTTACTTCCAATTTTCCTTATCTTTGAAATTTTTTTTAACCATTATTTCTCCCCCCAAAAGTTCTCCTACATTCTTCTGGAAGAAGCCAAAAACAGCAACACATCTGTGCTCAATCACTGGGTGTCCTTCCCCTTTCCAACCCTAGCACATTGTTAGTGCCTCAGCTTCAAAAGTGAAACTTTATTACACTCTAGGTTTCTTTCCTTCCCCTTCACTACATGACATTTACTTCTCTACATCTGTAGTTATTATCAAATAGCACACATTAAGTTATAACCAAGACACATATAAATATCATATATAAGTCAGGGCACTGAACTTTCTTCAGCATTATCTGTTGACTTTGTCTTATTGCACATTTCAGACAAGGCATTACAATACCATAAATTATCTTCATGAAATCATACTTTTAAATAGATACAGAGTTAGCACTGAAAAACATTTACCAAAAATACTGAATGCAACAAAAGCGACTTTCAAATAACAATGTGATTTACATTTGAAATGAATGTGTTAAGTACAAAACAGGTAAATACAGCTGAACATTTTGAAAAACAGACTTTACCAAGGCACAGTTATCTATGTCTTTATCTCTCTTCAGCATCTGTTCTATTGTGTTCTCCCACTGTTTGATGAGTTCTTGTCTTTCTACGTGAATCTTACGGAAATCTTGTGCTGCTTTATCCAATTCTAACTGTCAAACAGAAAGCAAATAACATTTCTGTGAATTTAAGTGCATTTGCAAACATCCTCTTGACAGTTAAGAAAGAAATAAAAATTTCACTAAACCAACCTGTGCACTTAAAGTCTCTGTAAGTTCATTATCAAGTACCTTTCTCCTCTGATTACATTCCAATGTCAGTTTTTCTAATTGCAGGGTTAGTGCCTATAATAAAATTACATGAAAAAAATTGATAATTATTATTTATTAATTTAAAAGCCATTAG